AGGAGAAACTGCTGTCCACCACACGAGTGCAAAATGGTGAATGAGAGAGAAGGCGCGTGTGTCAGGGGCGCGTCTGAATGTCTTCCATCGAAATCGGAGTGTCAGAGTGACGGTGAATGTTGCAGCCAGCAGTGCTTCGACGGCCATTGCAGAGACAAATAGATGTCTTCCGTCTATCTGTCTGTCTAACTGACCCACACTCAATCTTTCGCTCTACATCTCACCACGTCTGCATCAGACATTCACCAGTCTACTCGTTATGCACACGTATGCACTCTTTTTTTGTTGTGCACAGTCCTTCATTCTCAAGTGATCACCTTTGCTTCGATTAACGGCTTTTTTATTTGCTTCTCTCTTCCAGTTCATTCTTTTATTGGTTGTTTTCATTAAATGATAATAATTTCAATAATATTGTATGATTTTTATTACGTGATCTTTATTTTTCGTCTTATATTTCAGTGTTTAATCAATATGTGTTAATATAAAGTGATGAATGCGTTCGCCTCTGAATAGCACTAACCGGATGACACTTTGAAAGCGTTGTCTTCGATATCCTTTTTCTATCTTTCTGGTATCATGCCCTGCAGCATTTCAGATTGAGCGATGAACTTGAGGCATCCGATATCCGTCGTTTGGGAACTTGTCGAATTTGTGATTTGCAGAAAAATTGACATTGAATTTGATGATGATAGAAATTCATGAGATGGAATTATAGTTAGAAGGGCCTATTTTAGGAATATTTTCACGCTGGCTAGGTTTCTAATGAGGAGGTGCATGCGAATTAAAGCAGGTCGAATGGGAATAATCGATTTGTGTGGAGTGTTAGCTGTGGTACACATTTGAATTGTCGCTAATTCTCGTATTGTATTGTGTTGCACTTTGTTTGTATAGTGATCAATTTGACTGGGTGGTATCAGTCTGCCTATACAAAGAGCAATACACACATTTGTTTAGTTATCTACCTATTTAGTACACAATAGAAAACTGTAAAATGTCATGAGAAGGAAACGACAAAGAGTGGAATATCATTTACAAAGGGAACTTGAATAAATCCGTAATGCCTTGATGGAAATAGGCAATAGGTGTACTTTCTCAAGGTAACGTATGAATAAATCAGAATGCTAGAGACGATAGCACAGAGAGTTTGTTGCAGTGACTAACAAGTAGTGAGCAGAGAATATTTTACACACTAAACATGTTTTTGTCATTCTCTAGCCGGCAAATTATACCAGCTAAACGAAGTATAAAACGGATAATCTTTTATGTGATTTGTGATTTTCAGAAACAATGACATTGAAGTTGATGATGTACCTAGCTCCGCAAGAGCAGATGAACTGATAGGTTGTTCTATGCAGGTCTTATCAAAGCGTGTTAGAGAACATCATTCAGCATGGCTGCAAAGAAGAGGCACTGGCTCAATCAGAAGCGCATTAACTGAACACCTCGTCAGTACCTGTCATAGAATCTCAACTGACTCATCATTCAGAATCATTTGCAAAGTAAACAAAAAATTTCCCAAAGGCAGTGTGTTTTCGACTCTTTTTTTATACTGCGGTAGTTCCCGCCATATGCATCGAAAAGCCGAGGCTATGTGTTCAAAAGAAACACGTCCAGCCTTTACAACTACCATGGACCTAATTCGGTATGTTCTCTTATCCTTCAGTTGTTTTTTTTGTTTTTTTCTCTGTGTATGTGTAATTTTCTCTCTTTGGCTTCATTCAATTCATACCATTTTTTTTCAGTTATAAAATCAGTTATTTTAAGTTTGTTTCCATGCTCCTTCTGATCACACTTGTAATCCATTTAGAATAACCATTTTACGATTATGTTCTAATCTTGTATAGTTTTTTTGTTTCTATGCCTCTTGTAATCTATATTCGTATATTCAAACCTCCATATCAAGTTGAAAATTATTATCACCTTCGCTACTATTTAGAATTAAATAAATAATAATTGCGTCTTGTAGAATCAGAGAACACAAAGTCCTACTTATAAAATTGCTTCAGTAGCACACTACACAACATCAGCTCCATACTATTTTTTTTTGCAAATCAGTTTTCATCACAAATGTATTCTTGAAAAGTAACACACATTTATACCAAAAATGTAAGGAGTAACGCACAACTGCATTCTTAATAAATCCCAATATGCAACAAACAATTAATGAAAATTCCTTTCAACAATATTATTAGTGATATTGGCTGTTTATTAAATGGTGGTTGGCAGGAATGACGACAAACCTCATTTTATCCTTTATTAAGAATAGACCTTTGAATATATACTCCCTTCTCAGAAGTAGATTGTAGTCCTCTTAACAGAGGCATAATCTATAAGTCCCCCTTCTTATAACATTGGTTTATACCAATGGAAATTTGCATAATTTTAAGAGCAGCCCAAACCAGTCAGTACAAATTTAAACCATTGAACCTAAGTAGACTATTTATTATGGCACAGTGGAACAACATTGAAACGCTGATTTATGCAATCAATTAAATCAGCCATCTATTGGCTTAACATTCAAGGTATGCAATATTTGTTCACAATGCATTTTTGTATGGTAAATTTCGATCGTTCTTATCGACTTGGACCAGTCTGTTTTATATCTGTAGAAGATGGACTTTAGGGTCAAATGAGATCCAAAATCAGGAATAATCATTCGGTATTCAGGTGAGTCACATACCGCCCTTTCGTATATAATCTCAGTTACAGAATTATTTCTGGTACTAGTCTTATAAGCCCATATCAAATTTTGGAGACGTTATCAAACCCCAACAGTAGTACCCCTATCGTTGTTGTCAGAGCTCTTATCTAAAACAAGCAATAAAGGTTATTAAAGCAGGATTTAATGAATTCATCCGTCAAGTTGATGGTGTCGCAATGGGAAGCCCTTTGGGACCACTTTTTGCAGACGACGACTAGAAACCGGTATCTTGCAGCAACGTATACAAGAAACGGATGTATACCTAAGATATGTTGATGACATTTTTATTGTCTGTCGAAGCAGATCAAAAGCGGAAGACATGTTGATAAAATTCAACTCATGCCATCTGAATCTCAATTTCAGAATAGAACACGAGGAAAACGATACTACTAAATTCCTAGATGTTTTTATAGTTAAAAATGAATTATGGCGAATTCGAAAGATCTATGTTTAGGAAGTCTTCATGGGCAGGATAATACATGCATTTCAAAAGCTTTGTTCCAATTCACTATAAAAAGAACTTAGTCAGAACACTGTTCAATAGATCACGAAAAATTTGTTCTGACAGTACCATTGAACATGAAATAAAATCTCTGAAGGAAATTTTATCTAAGAATGGATATCTTGAGAAGTACATTAAAAAATACTCTAAAGAAATTATCCCCTGCAAAACAATCCAAACAGTTCCGAAGAAACCTGTCTATATCAGTTTGCCGTTCAAAGGAGATGATGTACAGGAAGTAGTCAAACGAAGACTCGACAAAGCCATCAAGAGAACTTATTATGCGGCAAAACTTGTTATCCTTAACATCAATAAGTGAGTGCTTCAACAATCTGGGAAAGATCAGTCGCCAATCCTCGGCACTTCAAACTGCTTACATCAATTTGGGTGCGTTTGTGGAAGCAAATACATAGGTCGTACACAAAGGTGATTTTCTACTCGCATGATGGAGCATTAGCCAAAATGCTTGAAAACAGCTGAGTACAAAGTCCCACAGTCCTCAATTACAAAACATCTTGTGGATTATGGACATGATATCGACGCGGTCAAGTTATTCACTATTGTCATCAGACAAAGAAACGAGAAGATGCTTGCAGTTGCACAGGCTTGTGTAATTCGTGTTAATAAACCAGGTATCTGTGTACAAAAGGAGATTGTCGTGACTCTAAAACTACCATGGTATTACGTTTTACTTATTATTCAACCTCTTAATATTATTATTATTCTTGATTCATTTAAAACTATCCTTTATCAGTAGTATTATCTTAACTCACTTCAACACTATTATTATTATTATAGCTATTACTATTGATATTAGTCTGTTTGCAGTTTTGTTATATTCCCTAATAACTAATTGTTTATCTAAGTGATGTAATTGAAGCGGAATGCAATTTATCTTAATTTCGATCTCTCATACTCTCTCTCCCCTTATCTATTTGAAATTGACCTGGAAACATTCGGACCTGTCTTTCTGAATGACTAATTCAATGTAGTTTTTTATGCTTATCAGTCTTATATCTCCTAATGTAATTTCAAAAGTATACATATTCGTGAATGTAGAGTATTCAGCTGACGATTTCTACCGAAATTTGATGATTTTATTAAATCTTACTGCTTTCTTAACCTGATTTGTTGCTTGTTTTAAATTCTTATCGGGAAATCAATGTTTTCAAAACTCTTATCGGTCGTTCAATAGATACAGATCACACGTTGCATATTTTGATCTCGTCTGATTCTGACTTTTGAAATTAAATTGTCTAAGCATTGTTGGTCATCTGATCTATCTGTCTATGATCCACCTGATCAGTTTCAAGCAAAAAGAAATAGGCACTCTAAATTCAATTATCAAACAAGCTAAATAAAATCACATGAGAATACCTTCTAAGTTCCTCTCTTTTACGTATATTGTTTTAATTTTTCTGAGTAAACATTTGAATCTTCAAGATAATCAAACAGTTCACTTACCTGAAAGGCATTAAAGTACATTTGCTTTTAACTAATACAATTTCTGATTAACACATGATTTGATGATAAGAAAATTTTAATGTATTCATATGATATGAAATAACTTTTAGATATGCTTTGGTAAATATTTAAGTATATATTTCTCTTTCTATCATACAATCTTACAAACATTATGATATATGTAATTGAAATACATTACACTGATTAAGATGTCTAGGATGACAATTGATGGTCATCACCTCACAGGTTAAATACATAACATGAAGAAAAGGTGTGAGAGAGAGAGCGAGAGGTCAACTGTTTAACTGGATGCTAAGAAAGAAGAAATACCAGCTATTGTTTCTTTTCATGTCCTCTTGATCCTGGAGGACACTTGGTTATATCATATTGTGTTAAACGTTCAATAACTGCAAAAATTTCTTCTTGTGTCATTTTTTTCATATTCGGTTTTGCAATACTCTCAGGTGAACATCCATAATCGTATCGATTGAAGCCCAACATTATTCTTGCTGATGTACACTCAACAGGATGTTTATTTTTATCTAAGCTGGCTAGTCTTTCAATAATTTCGTCTATTTTAGCTTTATCATATTTTATAGACTGGATATTGATTGAATGAGAAGAAGAGTTTCTTTTGGTTTTTGAAAGTTTTTCATTCATTGATCTGTTTTCTACCTAAGTTGAGAGAAAAAAAATTGGTGATAATACAAAGATATCGATGTGAGATTGAAATAACAAGATTGAAATGAACTTGCTTTCCCCTTCCCCACATTTTTGTGTCATATTTGTAAAAATTTGTGTCACCCTCACTGTGGTATTGTGGTGAGAGCTGTCTGTAAGCCAAAATTGTAGACAACAATTCACGTCAATGTTCACGTCCCGAATCAGGGTGATGCGGAAAAAACAATTACAAAGCTTAACCTTGAGGATCTCATCAACCAATCACAGAAGACTTGACGTATGCAAATAAGATTCGCAGACATTTGGCTTAACTTTCTGAGAAACGGTTACATACAGTAGAGGATAACCTCCAGCAAGAAAATAACCAATCAGAAGAGGTTGCTTCTCCTCTAACAATAATGCTAATAATAATGTAAATAAAATTCTATAAATACCCACTGATTTTCTCAATAAACGATCTGTTTCCTAGACCTCTTCTGTCGTTACAGCATGAGATCTATGTCGCTATCAGTGAAGAACATCAGTTTACTCTGACTCACTGTGTTTCAACACAGGCTTTTGTACAGATGCGCAGCGCTCCTATTTTTCACACTCGGTATGCCACACAAATTTTGAGGAAAGTAAGAAACATTAGATCTCAAATTCCTATAGTAAGCACAGATGTGCTAAAGAAAGAATAGTAAAATGTGAAAACAGTAGGGTTAAGTGGATATTGCAAATCACAAAGTGTGAACGCATCAGCACAATTTAGAACGACTTTTGAGCCACGTCACCAATTTTCTTCAGCCATCGGATCTTAGCCTCCCAGGGATTGCAACCAGAAAATTTACATCTCCCAACGAGGTCCAGACTAAGTGTCAAAGGACTTATGGATTAATGACAGGTTTCGATTATACCACCTCTAAATGTTACCCAACCCAACCCTATTACAGCTAATATTCTTCTTCAAGGAAGGTGGTGGCTCTAGAGACAACTGAATTAATGTATTATGACTGGACTTCCTGAAGTTATTAAACTTTTGAAATCTATAAATAACATTTTTGTTTCCATTATACAATTGTCTCTACCCTAATCAACTATAGTGATAAGTACCTTGAGAATAACAATTCTTAATGCTGGCTAAAATTCTGTCAGTCAAAATCATGATGCGTTTACCAAGCTAAAAGATTTACCAAATCAGTACACTTTCAAGTGATGTTTGTCTGTAGAAGGCTTTGGGAAAGCAGTTATGTACCCACTTTTCAAGCTTCACGAAAACTGTCATCCTGGAGAGTGACAAATTTGGAAGAATTTGTGTCCCCCACGGATGTGAACTCAAATCAAATGCTGCTATTGTCAGCCATTAGTTGCCGCTAACATAAAAATTAACGGTTGCAGCGTATTGAAGTATACTTGGATTTATCTGAAGGGCATTAACTTTCAGGATGCTAAACTTTAAACTATAAAAGTATTTCCAGTATAGGTTTCGTCATGTTCCAACATCAAAGAGTCATTTTAGACCAAGGGGTGCTGAACTGCTGTTTCTTTCTGGCACTGAACGTTTCAGAAGTGCCAACTGGAATCACGTTACAAGGTGATTTAGCGGACCACTCAACCGCTGGTTCTTAAATTTAATGATTGGCTAATTCCAAACACTATCAATTCCTGTGACATAGAGTGATGTAAGTCCACGGCAAACTCTATACTGGAACTAAATTGAACTCCCTACAAAACCTCAAATATGAATATCAATTTCCTGGTCAATAATACTTAATGTGTGAACGATCTGAAGTTCTACTAAGAAGTTGCGGCTCATAGGGTACACCAGTTGAGTGAGAAAAGGATGCTCACGGATAACAATAATTCAGTCACCAATTTGTAATATTTTCAAGTTCTTTTCCTCATATAACTCAACCAAAATCGATTAAAAACTTAACCCTTGTCTGTCATACCTCTTCCCCCGTATCCATCTCTCATGGAAGACCAACCATTTTTGTGCAGCACAACCAGTCAACGGAAAATACAAAAACTAACCTGAAACAAAAAAATAATGATTGACACCCGTTTTACAAGTGGGGGTTCTCACGGCCCTTATGACCAATCACATAATTCTTAAGCGTCTGAGTCGATGAGTGCAGCCTTCATCATCAGTTTTCCATAACTAGTCACTGCTAACTAAAATAACTGTTGAGTATTGAACTGAAAAGTTCTACCGAAAGTTGAATGAGTTCATTAAATCTTGCTCTATTAACCCTTATTGCCCATTTAAAACACATATCGAGAAATAAACGTCTTGGATTTCTCTTTAGCAATAATCAGTTCATAGTATGGAAAACCACTAATCACAGTGGAATGCAAATACGTTCATGAGATGAAACACATGTCCAGTATTCACCTACTTCATTAATCAGACCGCCTTAATAAAAGCAAAATCATCAACAACAAAAAAATACTTAAATTGACAAAATTCTACTCTTGATAACAGAAAAAAAAAAAATAGAAGGCAGTACGCAGACTTTTAACTCTAAAATAACCTTAACTGTTTCTAGGTAGGCGTACTTTTGTCTGAAATTGCTGATTACTGTACTGTACGTGTCATATGAGATGTGTAACGACTACTATCTCTAGGTCAGTTGTTGATTAACTCGATTACTTATTCATTGCGTAGCTTGTAAATATTATGTGACTCAGTAGATTTAAGCGTAGGCAAAATGATATTAAACACAGTAGGGCAGCTTAATGCTGAATATGAATATTTTACTCCAGATACTTTCTGCCGTACTAAGGCACGTGATATGTATCCACATATATATTTATGTGTGTGTGTGTGTATGTTGGTCTCTCTTTCTGTTTGCTCAGTTAGTCTGTGACCACTTCACTTGTATGAACCTGTCTCCTTTAATAATGTGTATTCTCCTTATATTATATTATATATAATATGAGTGTTTGTTGACAGTCCGTTGCTTGGTGACATATATCCATATATGTTTGTTGGCATGTCTGCTATATTCGCTATGTATATTTGGATCGACACTCCATTATAATTAGCCATTCATGTTAAGACTGTCTAATGATTTTTCCCACGCTTGTCTGAATTATTTATATATATTCGCATTCACAATTTGTGTGAACTACTTTACTTTACAACTACTTGACTTACTTACCACTTTGGTGTGAGACCATTTATTTTCGTCTCCTTGTGTTTGGACAATAGAAGTATCATCGCAAACCTAGTGGTCTTCTGATTTCCGCCTTCTCGCGTCAGGACTATTAGTTTCTCGACCAGTCCATAACAATAATTTAGCGACGAGTACATAACACACGGAAATATCAGAAGACGAAGACCTGTCTGTAATTGCGATAACAACCTATTATTATTGTTCCCTTGGGTTTCTAGCGGAACATACGGCTTCAACTGCACGTCTCCACTTGCTTCTGTCTTCCTTCTGCTGTGTTTTTCACCTGCATCCATCTTAGTCCATACTCTTTCAACTACTCTTCACACGATCTCCTCCATGTCACCCTTGCACTGACGTCCCACTCACCACTTCCCTTCCTGGTTCCACTCGAGCAATGGCCTGACGCGCGTGCTATGTCACCCAGCGGTCGCCTCAACGAGTGTCCAATCCATCTTCACTTTCTCCTCCATATGTGTTGGTTGGCGATTGGTTCTTTTTTTGTTTGTTTGTGCCCATACTTTCTTGTTGGTGATTCAAGAAACTATGGGAACAACTTAGTGAGACAAAAATACACCGTGTCCATATATATATATATAGTTAGACTAGATTAGTGGTGAAATAAATTTAATCTGATTGTTTGTATCAGATAGTCATATGAACTGTATCAAAACTTCTCAAAATAGCCTTGGAAAGGACTTTTAACACATCTAAGTTATGCTGCTCATTTACCAGCTGACCATTATTTACTTCACAAAATAGAAACAAAGTGCTCAGGCTGTCGTCTTTCATGTGGATTTACCAGTTTAACTGTTTCTATGAAGTTATTTACACTAAGCGTACGATTAGGTAAGATCATTGTTGAATTGCAAAACGCTATCCACCTTGGTTAGACAAAGAACCGAATAAATTGATCGATAACTCAAGACAATCTCATCTTGTCAATACACAACATCAAGTGGACACCGACAGAGCTTTTGAAGTCATTTGTCGTATTTCAACCAACCTTCTCTATACTTTACGAGTACTAGTATACACTTACAGTACTAACCTTTACCGAATTTATTGTATGCGTTAGAATATAACTCTTATATTTCAATGAATATCTGTTATGTAAAGCAGTGATTCGTCTAGGTATGAAGTTTCGTACTTCTTTGTTCAATAATACAGTTTTTATTTATTTGAAATGGTGCAACAATATTTGTTTTAACTTGTCAAATTAAAAGAGTTCATGCTTTACATTAGCATAGGTTTTATTATCTCAGCTGGATGCTCATCCCATTGTATTTAAAACTTGTTTACAGTATTTCATCATGAACTGAAATCAGTTAGAGAACCATTGATAAAACGCGGGAGTACTGGACAGTTGTTTCGTCCTAGTTTGGGACTCTTCATCAGTATGCACCCACATAGATTCGAAGCCAGGACCTACAAGGCGAGTTAGCTCGTAGACCATTAAGCCACTATGACTCGATCCAATGTCCAGTCCATGAATTCCAACTTCTGCCAATTCACGACATAACGCGACCGCAGGCCAATGTCATACCTAGCGAGTATTTGTCCTCACACCCGCCCTACTGCACCCTACTGGTCACGACTTTCCACTAGAACCCCAGGTAACTACCTACCTACCAATGTCAGCTCATGATTAAATCCTGTAACCAGTCAATCAAATCACCACAAACCAATACTTGAACATGAATGTCCATTAAGTGATCGTGTTTCGACTAAGACTTGAATCTTGCATCCAATGTCGCAAACACTGAAATGTTATTCACTAGGCGACTGAGTGACGAGAGTCATCACTTGTGTGGACGCCATCACTGATTAGGGAAGGGGGTAAACGCAACTAACGAGTCCAAGTTGGATTAAATGCTCATCCTGGATTTAACTGTTAGTCACTGTCAACCAAAATTACATGATGTTATTCCCCAAATTTCTTCAACGCTTCAGTATGCGATTCACTATCGATTATTTTATTTGTCTATGCAATTTGTGGTGCCTTCAAACATCAGAACAGCATGTAATCACGTCTTCTTCACAATTACACATCAATACACACCAATAAAAGTCATTTGTTTTATTTGAGTGCACACGCAAAGTGATCACAGCAAATAAATAATGAGGAGTTTATAAGTCTCATATCTCACGTGGTGAACACTTTATTCTGTGAACAAAATTATCCGACCCACATGAAGATATATATCTGTTACACACACTGGCTACGTTTGGATATTATGAGTGACTTTCATGGCGATCAGGCAGACATGGAACAAACAAATGAACGAAATTTGATCACCACCACTACATTTTTTAAAAACTTCATGCAATTCTTCCCATTAATAAACTTGAACAAAGCGAGAACAACAATTGTAACAGGATTATATGAGCTCATCTTTTGTTATTTAATCGAGGATTCCTCTCAACTGGTTACAACCTGAACGTTAAAAAATATGAATTACATTAAAGATTTGAACATACTTTTCCACGATCATAAGGAGTAATTGGTAGGAATGAAAAGTAACATTAGTCCGGAATGATTTAACTGATTAGGAATTACAAACACTGACTATTTATAGAATAATTAGACAATTAGGCTTGGAAACAAAAATAGGGTTGCGTATATATATATATATATATATATATATATATATATATATAGAAACAAGGTACAGCTAGAAAGAGCGTAACAAAAAGTAGATTACGTAACTAAAGACGACGTCTTATCTAATAGTCAATCGAAAAAAGGAAAGAAAAGAAACAAGGTAAGGTGAGTCATGTTTAGATGAGAGAGTAGAGTTTTCATGTTACCTTCAAATGTGTCTACCAATTTACATGTACGTACCAAAGCACATACATTGGAAGAACAGAGGGAAGGGTTATTGTCAGCATTAATGAACACATACCAAAGAACCTGAGACTGAAAGGTCCGCAAGCACTAAACAGTGAGATTGCTCGTCATCTACTGAACATTGGTCATATTATAGACAACCTGAAGTCGTTCAAAATAATCAACAAGCAAAAGAAACCTAGCTTGCTACGCTTTGTTGAAGCAATTGCTATCAAACTACTTAAACCAAATCTATGTACTCAGAAAAAGACAGTGGTGAATCTTGCACTGCCCTGGTGATAACAAAAAAATATACAACTTTCATGAGTCACCTTTTTCATGTTTAGAAAACTCTACTCTCTCATCTAAACATGACTCACCTTACCTTGTTTCTTTTCTTTCCTTTTTTCGATTGACTATTAGATAAGACGTCGTCTTTAGTTACGTAATCTACTTTTTGTTACGCTCTTTCTAGCTGTACCTTGTTTCTATACATATATATATATATATATATATATATATATATATATACGCAACCCTATTTTTGTTTCCAAGCCTAATTGTCTAATTATTCTATAAATAGTCAGTGTTTGTAATTCCTAATCAGTTAAATCATTCCGGACTAATGTTACTTTTCATTCCTACCAATTACTCCTTATGATCGTGGAAAAGTATGTTCAAATCTTTAATGTAATTCATATTTTTTAACGTTCAGGTTGTAACCAGTTGAGAGGAATCCTCGATTAAATAACAAAAGATGAGCTCATATAATCCTGTTACAATTGTTGTTCTCGCTTTGTTCAAGTTTATTAATGGGAAGAATTGCATGAAGTTTTTAAAAAATGTAGTCCTACTGCTCACTAAATTATGGTATAATATAAAATATAATACAATTATATATAAAAAATATTTGCCTTACGTGCATAGTTTCCTTTTGGTAAAATGATAATTAACAAGATGTATAAAATTTCTCTGCAAAAATATGCAATCAAAAAGTTGACAAATTAGAACAAAAGGTTTTATGAACAATAATCAAAATCAATTTGTGTGTATGACTGTGTATATATATGTCCGTAATGAATTTAACGCAGACATACACACACATACCTGTGCAGACACGTTCACATATCCCAATAAGTCTACACAAAGACAAAATTGGATAGTTAGACTGGTAGAGAGATAGACAGACAGACAGACAAATACATAGACAAATAAATAGGTAGACAGATCGAATAGTTTGAACTTATGAACAATATCACAAGAAAAACGTTTAAAAATCAGGTTTCTTTTTGCACCTATATCAGTTAGGAAATTGAAGTTTATTTTGAGATATAATGAAGCATAGATCCCAGATCCAACATTAGCGGGTCTTCAAGTCCTGTGCTGGGAATGCATTGAAGTATAACAGTTTACTTTTCCCGCATTTAGTATGATTCACATCATATCATCCACTGACTGTCTATCATAAATCTAATGCTTGGTGGCACAAAGGTAATTGTCCCTTGTTAAATAATGATCTGAAAATGAATGTCAAAATCAGTCAGTGCTAATCATAGAATTATTATTATTCCGTTGGGATCCTTGGGATTATCTGGGCTTCATTATCTCCACGATGTTCTCTGCAGTCTCTTTTACCTGGCTTCATGTTCTCTCATAAGCAGTCATCTTCTCTTCACATCATACTAGGATGCTCAGCTCATTATTTTAACATTCGGGTTCCACTCCGGAGCCTGTCGGATGCGTTAAACCTCTCTTCACGGTCTTCTTGGAGTATGTCCAATGCATCTCCATAGTATTTTTCAAATTTTATTCAACTATTTGTTTGTTTTCCGTCGGTTTGTCACACCGTCAGAGCTCCTTGTTGCTTATACTTTCCTGACTAATATATATGATCTTCTGTATTGAGAGAAGGACGTTGTTAATGAAAGTGTGCAGAAGACCGTTAGAAATGATTTTCTTGACAAGCACATCAAGGCCATAAACTATAGAGCCATTAACTAACTTGAAATTAGCATTTAAAAACCAAATTTTTTTCCTAGTCCTAAGTGTAGCAGATCAATGAAGCCTTAGTCTGCGCTTCCATTCCTCACTGCCTCTAACATCTTTATTCGTGCAGCATTTTTCTCAAATGATAAAGCGTAGCCAGTTAAATGAAACAGATGCATAGAAGGCAAGTAGATGACACCTTTATTATGTGTAATAGTGATTATAACTTGAGTAAATGTATTAAATTTGTTTTAGAATTGCTATCAAGCGGTAAAAGTCACACTCGAAATGGAGAACGAGTTTAGCATTCATTTCTTAGATGTGAACTTATCAAGGAAAACCAATGGAACTCTGAAGAGACCGATTTGTAGAAAGCTATCATGGAATAGTCACCTGACGAATTTCTACAGATGGATACTTATTGGTTGGATGCGAAATGGACCCTTAGAAAGACTGACTTTTTGGGGACAGTCGGCTACTTCGACCTTTTACTTTCCGAGTTCATATGTTGGTTTACGAATTTAGTTAGATATTCGTTTCTTCTCAGTAGATCACGAATATTACCGAGTTCTTCGTTCAGTGTCCCATTTGAACAGATAAATCTAGCTTAGTCAACCAGACATCTAACCAGATTACGTTTGTATTCTAGAGGTATTAAACTCGAGAAGTGAGTATATTGCCCACTGGAAGTAGGTTTTCTATGTAAACGCCTACATATTGTCCTGCCGTTTAGTCATTAGGACGTCCAAAAAGGAGATGGAGTCATTTTCTTCTTCTTCCTTAGTGAAGTTTATGCCAGGATTTACTAGATTGAATTTATTCAACATGTCCTTTGTCCCACTTTCTTTCTTCACAACTATAAATGTATCATCAACATGTAGCAATAGAAATCAAGATTATATTTTACAGCTTTAACAGGACCGTTAGGATTGAGCCTAGTGGTGATCCTACGGGAACACCATCTAATTGTTTATACACTTATTTACTGAACAGAAAAATTACGTTCATTGTACACCTTTGAAGAAGTTCCTTTGGGGAATATACAGGAATTCCAGTCTCTATACCTTGGTTTATCAACTGATTACCTATCTGTTCTCATTAAAGGCATTTTGGTGCATAAGGAAGATACATTCTGTGATATCATGTATTTATCCTTCACACCCAATTCGGTGATTCTTTCTAGAAACTCAAAACTATCTTTTACTCTATTTTCCTCAAGTTTCCTATGTAACGGATGCAAAGGTTCCACCAGCCGTTTTGCCGCTGAATGGTTTGGTGAGCTAGACAAATCAACGACTGATCTAATTTGCAAACCGCTTTTTGTGAATCTTCAGTAGGCCAATAACCTGGATGTCACCGTTCCAACAAGTCTTAGTGTTTCATACAAGGCAGGTAAAATATGGTCATGTTGTTTCAACTTTTTTAAAGACTCTGTTAACTTTCCCTCATTCCTCTCCGTTGTGTCTTTGTTAGTTGATGGTCACTGAAATTTGTGTGCATCACTTAATAAAGTTTCTATTTTGACAAGGTAATCAAACTTATCTACGACAACAACTCATGAACCTTTTTCAGTCCTGGAGATCGCTATATTCGCATTCGCTTTCAATATCTTTAAAGCCTCTTGATGCTTATAGTTAAAATACCCTTTGCATTACCTGTACTATTCATGTATTTGTAACAACAATCGACGTTTTATTTACTGACGTTTCGCTATTTAGTGCTCATAGTAGCTTTACCAAAACAGTAACATTAAACCAGAATTTACGGAATCTCATCCTGTATGAAGTAACTTAATTATCCTTCTTCAGCATGAGGTAATTTTGGCGTCGTCAAGTTGGTTAATTGTTAAAGATAATAAAACCAGGTGTAGACTGTTAAATCTGATAAATGTATGAAATTATAAACACAGTATTTAGTAACAATGTAATTGCTCATCACATTTGTATTGATTTTATCACTTCATGAGGCTGAGGTGTTGGAGGCAGGTCAAAATGTATCTGAACCGTCATTACTAATCAGACAATTTGGATTCCATTCGATTTAAAGTGCTTCTGATATTAGACGCACTTTGTGACTTCTGAATAATTTCACTATTATCAAAATCAGTTTTGTGGCCTGATTCTATGGGCGGTGATTTTTTCAAGCTTTAATTGTTCAACTAGATTTCTTGATGGTCGAATATATATCCCTTTCTTCTAATCTTGATTTCTCTCTAGTTCCATCAAATGTATGTCGCATAACATTCCAAGCACTTTATTTTGTAGAAATAATTAGACTGTAAAACCTTCGGAATTCGGTCTTTTACATGGATAGGGTTATCAGTCACGTCTCAAAACCGTTAATGCCCAGCTCTTGCTACGCCAGGCCTCTCGCTGTCCCTCGAAGCCTTTCAGAAACGCTTAGTAGTAACGGACGCAAAAACCAAAACACCGATTGGTAACTCGAGAATTCTTTATTCTAACATCAACATATGAGCAGCATAATAACTAAGTTCTACCAACAAATATTACAATAATAAATCACGATATTACTTCTGACGGTTTTTGATCTTCTTTCTGAACAGCGACCGATGAGACGATGACTGGTGTATTGATGCCTCCGCGAAAATATAGGGAAGTTGGGTTTCAGCAAACATCCATGAACTGATCGTTCAATCATCAACTACTTTAACAAGGGTTGCTTTTGCAATGTGTCGAATTTTTTGAAGAAATCTCTGATGTCGTGCTAATTGAGTCCTCTTCTTCTGATATCGACTAACGTTTCTGATCTGTATGGAATGAAAACTGTTGAGGCTCACGTCTTTAGAATAAATTTTTGACCATATTTAATTTCAGTTTTGATTTTGTAATTTTCACGAGTTGATCACGGATTGATCACATTTAGGGAACCATTGAAAACCAGCACTGGAGTACTGAACAGCTGTTTCATCCTAGTTTGGGAATCATCGGCAGTACGCATCTACTGCCAGGGTTCGAACCAAAACACCTTCCGGTTACAAGGAAAGCTACTGGGACACGATTCAATGGCTCATGAATTCTCAATTCCAACAAGTCGTGATTTAACTTGACCACAAACATTGTCGTTGATGGGACATACATCCACACACATGAAATCTAAGTGGACCTCACTGGTCACGATTTCTCACTAGAACTGACTCCAGGAAACTCCATCCTGTAGCAAGTCACTAGCGAGCATCAGATTAATTTTCTACAGTTTGGTTTGAAAGGGTTAGTTGTGTTTTTAAGAGTTGATCACGGATTGATATCAGCTAGAGAACCATTGATTCCCAAACTAGGATGAAACAGCAGCTGTCTGGCAGTACTCCCTGATTTTCAATGGTTCTCTAACTGATATCAATCCGTGATCAACTGGTAAAAACATAACTAACCCTTACAAAACCAAACTACAGAAAATTTGTAATTTCCCTTGAGAATTTCAGTAATGTTTGATATTTCCTCTTCTTTTTCCTTCTCGTCGGTTATCAAAGAGTGTGTCCGTCTAAAAAGAGGTGAAATAACTCATACTTTCACTCTGATGGAGTGTGATGACCTGAAGTCTAAATATATACTGGAGCGCGTTTTCTTTCTCGATACAGATATATTAAAATTTTTATTTTCCCTCCTCTTAATTTTATAATATTGTGGTGATTGACAGTTTCTATCTCTGTATTGTTTAAATACTTACTGTTGATTGTTAATATATTTCTTATATGAACTGAATAATAATTCCGCTAAATACAAATTCCTGAATTCCGCCCTCTCTGTGTTTTGGTTGAATTCTTGTAATTCGGTCATCTTGAAATACTAATACTACTAGTAGTACAAAAATTATAACATTTTGGCGTCGCGATGGAACTAAATAACCTTGGAAAATTTCCTGTAAATGGTTCACCGCGGGAAATCCGCGATTATCTTGAATGCTTCGATGCATGGTGCATTT